CAGATTTAGGTTAAAGTTTTTCAGTCATCTATCACTTTATCAAACCTTCATGGAAATTTATGAAATAGGACAAAAGCTTGTTTATGATCAAAACACAGTATCCAGAGCAAATATTTATTTTCATTTTTCCATATTTAACTGATAAATGGACTTTTTTTACAGTTTACAAGTAGATACAGACTGGGGTTAAAGTTTGCTAAACATCAATTAATTTGTCAAACCTTCATAGTGTTTTATGAAACTTTTTAACTATTAAGAGATAATGTCTGAAGCAAACCTTTGAAAATAATTTTTTTCATTTTTAGTATTTTTCTGATAGATGAACCTTTTTAACAGTTTAAAACATTTACCGACATTCTGGGATTAAATTTTTTTGACATACAAATGTATTAAGATTTGTAAACCTTCATGGATTGTTATGAAACTTGGACAGAAGCTAATCTTCAAGACCAAGAAATAGCATCTAAAGAAAAAGTTTGATTTTTTTTAAAATTCTGTATTTTACATATAAATGGACTTGCTTTTTAAGTCAATATTACACTTTCACACTGACAGCAGCAATCGCAGACGTGTCACTGGGTTCAACTGAACCCCTTATCAATTTTTGTCTTGCCTTGACGGATTCAAAAAGCAAAGCATAGGTATGCTGTTTCCGGCAGCAATGGCATCAACAATGTATTAGTTTGTGATTAGGTCTAGTGAACCACTAGTGATAGGTCATTGATATATGGTATGCAGTTGTATTAGCATTGGCACATCTCATTATGATGTAGATTATTTGGCCCAGCCACCTTAGTCATGGTCGATTGACTTCAAAACTTTGCTTAGTTTACATGTATTAGTTTGTGATTAGATTAGGTCAGTTTATGGGAAACCACTAGTGGTAGGTCAATGATATTTGGTATGCAGTTGTATAAGCATTGGCTTATCTCATTTCCATGGAGATTATTTGGCCCCGCCCCATCAGTCATGCTCTATTGACTTAACTTTTGCTTAGTTTTCATGTAATAGTTTGTGATTAGGTCAGTTTAAGGGGAACCGTTAGTCGTGGTCAGTGATAATTGGTATGCAGTTGAATAAACATTAGCACATCTCATTTCCATGGAGAATATTTAGTCCTTACCCCTCAGTCATGGTCTATTGACTTTGAAACTTTTACTTAGTTTACATGTATTAGTTTGTGATTAGGTCAGTTTAAGATAAACCACTAATGTTAAGTCAATGATATATGGTATGCAAATGTATTGGCATTGGCAAGTTTCATTTCCATGGAGATTATATAACTCCATCCCCTCATTATGGTTTATTGCAGTGGCGGATCCAGAAATTTTCATAAGTGGGGGCTCACTGATTGCCTAAGAGGGGGCCCACTCCTGTCATGCTTCAGTGATTCCCTTTATAACAACCTAATTTTACTCACAAAAGGGGGGCCGGGACCACTGCACAAACAAGTTTACAAGTTAATGTTTGTGTTTAGGTATGTTTAAAGGGAACGACTTATGAAAAGTCAATGGTATATGGTATGTAGTTGTATTAGCATTGGCACATCTCATTTCCATGGAGATTGTTTATTCCTGTACCTTCAGTCATGGTTTTTGACTTTGAATATTTGCATAACTAACATGTTAAAATATTGCTATTTTAGTGTCAACATTTGCATTATCAAAATAACAAATAGGCAAGACATATTTCTGTGTTAACAGTTTACTTCATATATCATAGTTTGCTTTTTTTAAATATAGCTGATTTACAAACCATGCCTCTTTTGGGGTATACTAACTATTCATAGATATTTTGTTTTGTTTACCTACTGGTTCCTAGATATGATGTACATGTTTCATCGTATAGAAAATTGGAATTTTACCAATATAAATACAATTGGATTGGGGTGAAATTAAATTCTCAGGAAGACTAAAAGTAAAGGTAGGGGTAGTACAGAATTTTAGTGTAAGTTTAAACTCTTCGAAGTTCGAGGCATATAAATGTTGAAAAATCTTGCAGCACAACCCCATTTTTTTACCTTTGCCAGAATTAGTAGTGCATGTGAATTGCATTGTCTTTATTTACTTTATTTTGGTGTATAGAATTATTGATAGCACATGTCCATCTGACCTTGAACTCTTTTTCCATGGTTTTTAAGACTGTGGTCAAGGTTGTTTGTGATTTCAGTTTCTCAAATACAATAACGAATAGCTCTTTTACTTTTAGCTCACCTGGGCCAAAGGGCCTAGTGAGCTTTTCTCATCACTTGGCATCTAATGACAATTTTTCCCAATTTTGTCTATTATCTTGAAAAATGTATTAGATAGATAGATAGAAACTTTAAAAAGCACAAATGATCAGCCAGAACAGACCAACAAATAAGCCGTAATGGACGTATTCAAAAGACTCGTTATCGGAGTTATTGCCCTTTAATAATAATTTTTAACATTTTTTTGTCTATTATCTTGAAAACTATGATAGATAAATAGAAACTTTAAAAAGACTAGATGTGTTGGATAGAACACTTATGGCCCCGCTCACAAAAAAAGCTTGAAGACAATTTTAGGAGTGGAAATTTGAGAATGAAAGTCTGTATAACTGTTATTTTCACGAAATTTTCAAAGTCCAAAGCCCATACTTTTGGCACAAGTCAGCAGAGCAGAACCAAATGTAAACTCAATCTGTAACCAATCATTGTAGACTCACATAATAAAAATCAGCTCAATATGTGAGGTCCTTTAGAAAAAAAGTCAGTCATGAAATTTTCAAAGTTCAAAGCCCGTAATTTTGACAAAACCAAATTTTTGAGCGGAACCAAACATAATCTCGATCTATCTCACATACTTACAATCACGCTCAATATGTGAAGGCCTTTAGAAAAAAAGTGTTTAACTATTAGTTGTGGAATGAAGGAATGACGGATAAGGGTAAAACTATATGGCCTGACCACTTTGTGAGGGGTCAAAAAAATATATCAGCAGGATAATTCTACAAATATGTCAACATGACTGATATTGTCAGTTAACACTTAATTATGCCCCTTTAATGATAAAAAGTGGCCATTGTTGACGATGCAGGGGAGCAACACAGGCTCTTTAGAGCCTCTAGTTGGTATATAAATTGATTGTAAATTTAAAATCATGCAAAGCTGTGATTTCTTTCCCGGCTTTGGCTATACTTTTTTGTCCTTTTTGGTTATAGCTTTTCATCTTTTTAATAATCTTTGGATTTTCAAATATTTTGGCCTCAAGCATCACTGAAGAGACATTGATTGTCGAAATGTGCATCCGGTGCAGAAAAATTGTTATTGTTTATGTTATTACATGTCAGTCTGACAGGGTTCTTTTGACCTTGATCTCATTTTCATTGTTAATTGGTCAGTATTTATGTTTTTCTTATAAGGTAAATCACATAACAATATGTCAACTAAATTTGGTGTATAGAAAGTTTGTAAGGTGTATAATGCGTCTCACAGAGTTCATCTGACCTACACCTCATTTTCATGATCCATTGGTCAACATTTTCAAGTTTTCAGTTTGCCAAATTAGACTTATCACCGTACTTACATGGTGCCACATGTGGAGCAAGATCTGCTTGCCCTTTCAGAGTACCGGTCTGAGATCACCCTCAGTTTTTGGTTGGGTTAGTGTTGCTTAGTCTTTAGTTTTCTATGTTGTATTTTGAATATGATTTGTTTGTCTTCTTTTGCCATGGCCTAGTGAGTTTATTTTTTACTTATGAGTTTAAATGTCTCTATGGTATCTTTTGACTCTATTTCTTAATAAGTAGGTCAAATTTCATAGGGTACTAGGATTTAATTTTTTGGGTAAAGATTGCATGAAATGCAATCAAAACCCTATGGTACTGACTGGATATCAAAATCTTCCAAGGTTTATCACTACTTTTGAGATACACAAAATATAGTGCATTGATCATAACATTCTAAACATCGATCCTCTCTATGAACATTTTGAGAAATTTATCAATGAAATATATGCTCAGATATTGAAGTTACAAAATTATGTTAAACTTGTCAAGAAAATTACATAACTTGTGCAAGGAGCAGGGATCTAATATCTGTTCTAAAAATGTCATTGTTGAAGAAATCTTTAAGATTGGAATTATCTACCTTTGTCCATAATTGTAGTACATCCAATGCTTTATACAATGCAAGGTTTAATTTCACTTCCCACTGATAAATTAAAGCAATCTTTACCCTTCAGTGCTTACAAGCACTTTGATTTTAATATGTAGGCAAATTATTCATCCTTAAAGATGTCGTAAACTGCAACTTTGATTTACAAAATACACTTTAAAGGACTTTTGTACTTGGTTTTATATATATTAAGTCAAGTCATTTTAAAATAGTTGTCAACAATATATTCTAATTTGATGTTTTCATGTTATCCTTTTTTCAATATCAGAAAGACAATAAATAAGTTTTGGAAGAACTATCATGATTTAAGCAGTCCACCTAAATTACTTTCCTATTCACCAGTAATTTCCTGCATAGTTATCCAAAACATATCTTGATTTGCCCTGTGGTGGGCTAAATTTTTGTGTTGTTTCTGTAATTTATTGTGAGATTGTGGTGCAATTTATGATAGTATTTGTTTGATTTTTTAGCAATCATATTTTGTTTATCTGTGCTCTTCAATGCAAAGATGTAGCAAAGAATTCCATTCAAACCAGTGCTAGGGACCATCTTGAACTTGCAGTTAGGAGAGTGTGTCTGCTCCATGTAAGCCTAACTTTAGACTTCAAGATGAAGAACAGCCTTAAAGCACTGTTCTTTTGCCTTTGATTTTTCATTGGCCTGTTGTGGTTTTGTGTCAGGAGTTGATACACAAAATCCTTTCTTTTCCATTATAATATAGATTCAATCAATAGAATAATTTGATGGAAATCTTGGTTAGTATTTTCTATCTGGTCATAACTTAAACAAACTCTAGTGGATGCTATCTTAGTTCTCAGATCTGAAGCAAGATATGTATGATAATGCAAAAGTTGACAAAAAGTTGGGTTAAGTCAAAAAATTTTAATGATTCCAGATATTAGGACAAACATATATATCACAGTTTTATCATAAAGTAACAGTAGATATAAGAAGGTAAATAGGACTAATACAACACTATAAAATATACAATAAATTAGACAAAAAATATTCAATAACAAGTAAAATGTAAAGGAAAATTTTGTTAAAAATTTAGCAAAGTGTTTTTTAATACAGAAAGCTATCAATTCAACTGGCTGCAAATAGAAACATGTAAAACTACTACTGTGTTACCTATGATCCTTGTAAAATTGTTTTTCATTAAAGTCATATGATACTTCAAATTAAAAAAAAAGTTGAATATGTTTTATATACTTGAATAGCTATGTGTTATAAATATAAAACACGTGTACATGAACTTTCTTTTAAGAGAAAATCCTTAATCTCATCCAAATCTTCAGAAATGTGCTGCTATTGAATTATTGCCTTCCTGTACTCCAATTCGCCATTAGCTTTTCCATATGCAGTGATCTTGACTACATTACCTCTCAATGAATCAAACCTGTTGTTTCTATTGTAAGTTACTATATAATACCACTATCTATAGGAACCAATTGTTGATTGTTTGGCAAACATCTGAGGTTTATCCAACAGATGAACTTGTACAGTAAATTGATTTTTCTTTTTGAAGTTTCTGAACCTAAATAATTTTATTAAATTATATAATTTAGCTTGTCTATACTAATTAAAAGTGTTTGGCATGAACAAATTGACAAAACCACCTTGTTAACATCCACAGAACTGTGTGAAACTTTTTTTTTAATAAATAAATTATATCAGTTATTCAATGTTTTCTCCAATATTTATATTAAGAAAGAATGTTAAAAAAGCTATTAAAATAGATGTAGATTGACAAAAATATTACATAGATGTCAAATATTGTCTTTATTCAGAGTGTTATTGCTTTAAAGTCAAAATCATTTATAACAGTTCAGATGAAGCATTGTTAATTGATGGAACCCATTTCAAAGAACAAGTTTATATTCATTTTCATCAAATTCTTTGACCTTGATTTCTCAGTGGTTACCTTGATTTGCTTGAATACCTCCACTGTCAAATACAAAAGAGATTTTTAACAGGATAAACAAGAATATGTGTCCACAGAACACTTTCTCAGCTCACACACCAACATTTGTAAATTAAGTGATCGGCAAATTCTGGTTTAAAATCCTAATTTGGCATTTAATTTTAAAAGTTCACTTCATAATGAACATGTGAAGCAAGTTTCAAGTTGATCTGATCACAACATACCTTAAACCAAAACATTAACATGATACAGGACAGACGGATGCCCAAACCAGAAAACATAATACCCTTACTATTGTACGTGTGGCATAAAAATATCCTGTTGCCTCACATTGTTTTAGAATACCTGCCACAAATGTCTAAACCACTTAAATTTGGTTCAAATTAGGCATTTTATTCAGAGGATAAAACTTTAAAAAAAATAGTCTTTTCAAAAATTGCAGTCTATTTATAGATGTACTGAACTTGGCCCTTTAAAATCCTGTATATAAGTTGAAAATTCAGTTTTTTTATCATGATCTTCTGAAATATTATTATCAACTTAAGTGTGGTAAAGACTGGGTGTATGATTCAAAGATTTCCCAAAATTACAATCAGTTAAATTTATAGTTCCTGTAACTTTAACCTATGACGTAAAGACATCAAGTCAGCAAAGGACATCTGACCCAGGTCCACTAATCCAAACAGAAGGTTGGAAATGAATAGATATGTGATTCAATAGACATCATCCAGAAACCAATATTTAGCTCACTTTTCAGTCTTTTTATAGAGAGTGGAATCTTGACCTTTGACATGGAGAACTTTCCTAAAAGAAAAATTGATTTATGGTAAAAAAATAAAACAAACTGCTGTTGCTCTAATGAAATTTGACAGAACACAACTGGGCATAAAATTATCAATTATCTGAATATCTGCTACATTTAGTCCTTAAAAAGTGTCGACCAATAGGGGGATATAATCTTTTCCTACAGAGATAGCAAAAATTTGTACTACACTTCCAGCATATGACATGATTGATGTTTTCTTTGCGTAAATTGTTTTCTGTACATTCTGGACACATTGCATGATCTATTGTTTTCCCTAGTCCTAATGCTGTGTTTAGCTCCTGTATTTTCTGAAAATAGAAACAAAATGTTTTTTATTATTATTCATAAATCTGAAATAAAAGAAGCATCTTCAGAGTTTTTTTGTTAGAAATTTTTTATAAAGGATAGATTAACTGAAAGAATAGTGGTTATGAATTTCGCAGGATAAGCCTAATACTGTTGATTCATTTATTTTCGTGGGTACCAATTTTCGTGGTTTGAGGAAAAGTTAAACTTTCAGGGATATTTAATTTTGTGGTTTTGCAATAGTCTGCATACAAGCCTATGGAAAATTTGTAATTCGTTGAACATTTAAATTCGTGGTTCACCTGTACCAACAAAATCCACGAAAATTGGTATCCAACGAATAATAATGAATCCACAGTATAGGATAATAAGGAAATTGAAAAAATGTTGGAATTTAAATTAATGCATTGGGAACCAACTATGCACTGAAGCATCTTTTCCCCTAGGGAAACATGGCATTTTAGGAAAAACAGCAATCTCCCATAAAAAGTAGGTCACTTTGACCTTAATGTTTCACTGATTTCTATTAAGTGTTGTATCTGAGTTCAAACTTCAAATATAAAGAAACCTACAATCACAGGGGGATTAAACAGCCTCCTATGAAAAGTAGGTTACTTCAGACTAAATTTTACACTTTATTCAAGAGAAAAGGCAATTTAACTGACCATTGGTGGCTCATTGGTAACAGGAAGGTTTTCATCAAATATATATAGAGAACAATCTGGAGATTCCTGAAAATGTTTGTAAGAATCTTGAGTTGTATCCTTGCCACATGCCCAACACATAGAACTCTTACACACTGTACATATCACATGGTTACATCTAAAAATATAACAAGGAAGGTTATCATTAGTAAATATGGCTATCTTCCACTGCGTTTAGTGATGCAACATTTTTCCATTGGAGACAATTTAATTTCCTTACTTTAAAAAGTGAAGCTTCACCAGCATTAAACATTTGTACTGAGTACCGGAGGTGTTTTTTTCACAGCCATAATTTGGTCCTTTGAATTGCAATAAAAATGTTTCAGCATTTTAGATGGGTTAATATAATCGATTAGCTTCCATCTCTTGTAATCTTAGAATTCTGTTAAGATTTCTAGCGCTACTGGAACTTAGTGAGCAGCAATATGTACATATTATATCAAAGCTTTCAAAATTAAAAGAATTACTAATTATAGGATAAAAAACTTCTTGTAATACATTTGATCTAGTTTTTGTTTCAGTCTGTTCTATGTCTGATAAAAAAATTGACTTTTTTTATAAAATGGAGATAAATTCTGTGTAAAAATGCTGACTGCATGATATAAATGGAAGATAACTTTGAACATGCAGTTTAGAATAAATTAATGTGTCAACTAGAACTGCAAGTGAACTCACAAAATGGTACATTTGTCCCACAAATTCAATTATCATACCTTTAACATGTTGGACTGGGGTTATATTTCTTAGGGCTATTCCATTAAAATGTATGTGGGAGGGTAGGAAGGGAAGGTTAAATATTGAATGTGGGTCATGGGTCTTTTTTCAGTATGTGTCTATTACCATTATGCAAAATTATCTAAAAAATGGCTCTTGGTTGTAGGGATATTTTGAAAGTCCCTTCCTACCCTCCCACATACATTTTAATGGAATAGCCCTTAATGCACAACCACAAGTAGTGTTCTACATCTGTAGAACGTTGCATTCGTATCTGTAAAGTTGTTTAGGAGGATTTGCGCATATGAAAGACTTTTACCACATATTGCAATATTATCTCCCCTTAAACAGAACTGGGATTATATTCCTTTATGCACATTCTAAGTTAGCGTTCTACAACTGTGTAAAATTTCATTAAAGAGGAGTTGCGCTTACAAGACAATTACCACATATGCAAGATTGAAGTACATATGTTTGATTATCTCCTCTTTAACATGTATGACTGTGATTATATATAGATTATATATATAGTGGATTATCGGATTTATCTAATCGAGATAGCTAAATTATCAAATTTTAAATATTGAGATTGGATAAATCATATAAGCCACAAGCAACTATGTAAGAATCTGTTTCTGTAATGATTATCAAATAAATTTTCATTTTTGATTAACGAAAATCCCATTCGAGTGCCTTCCACATGCCCAATTTCTATGTCATACAAATGTAAAAGATGTCAATTTTTAAAACTCCTGTAAGCACATTCCGATTCATCTAGAGAGCTGATTAAGGTTATGACCTTTTAAACTTAGCCAATCAACTACTGAGATCATAGGCAACCAGACGTTGATTAAATTTTTTTAAACAATTGGTCCAGAAAGGGTTAAATTGCCAAAGAATTAGAGAAATTCTTTCATCGTCTGGTAGTATTCTACAAGTGTTAATAAATATCTGTCTGTTTAAAAAGAGTAGTCCTTACAAAGCACATGGACAGACAGACTGAAGGTGAATCCTATATCTTCAAGTCAGGAATACGACAGTTGTTTTCCATTCGTTTGATGTGTTTGAGCTTTTGATTTTGCCATTTTATAGAGGACTTTTCGTTTTGAATTTCCTTTGGACTTTGTTATTTTTGTTATTTTACTTTACACAGTTTATGAACAGGTAATTGTTATGCGACACCATAAACAGTTTGTCCTACCTTGGTTTTATCTCCCTTTGCAAAAATATTTATAATTTGGAAAGGTAAACATAAGCATATAATAACCGTAAAATGTTACGGTGTAGATCTGTTATTTTTACCGTTTTGTAAGTAGACATAAAATCTTATGAATCAATTCATATTTATGTTTATTTATATTATGTATTATGTTAAAATGTATAATACTAACATTTATATATATTTTATTAGATATTCTTCCTGGATACCTAATAATTATTACAGAGGAAAACTTAGCCCAATGCTGTAAGCTAAGTAAATTGTTAAACAGCATATAATACAATAAAAATTATTTAATTGTGTTAAAAAAAAAAAATTGGAATCAAAAGTCAGTAATTGGAAAATAAGGCTTTAGAGGATGTAATGAATATATTTTCAAAGGATTTTAGAAATTGTAATTTAAAAAAATATATGCATGCTACTAGACTTGCTTCAATTCCCTTTCTTTTATTTCTTTCTTACTTATTTATATGCTTACTGAAAACTACCATGATACTGATTGCCAAGGAGAAAGCAGGTGTCAATATAATGGCAATCTCTACCTTCTTCATCGAAAATAAAACTTATATTTACCCTCCAGCTTTAATAATTTTCACTTTACAAACAGGACATTTCTTTGATTTTTCTTTTAAAAAATCATGGCTTTTTACTTCTTCCATGCGTTTAAGTTTCCGTTGAAATTCCTTTTCATTTTCCCCCTCTCTATTTTTCCTCTCTTCTTCTTCCTTTAAATTGTTTTCCTTTTTGAAGAAACATATTTCACCCTAAAATGTAATATAAATTGTACATTGTTAACTGTTTTAAATGGTAAACTTATTAGAACCAAAAAAAATGTTTTAACATATAAATTGAAATTTTCTACTTATTAGATTCATTGTCCAATGCTGTACTGCGACTCCTATGTATTTATAATAACAAACAATCAATGTACCAGAGAAAAGTTTATATAAATCTTTCTATAGTTCTGAATCCAATAGTATTGATAAAGTTTCTCGTGTTTAAGTGAAAACATAATCTTAATTCTTTAAACAATTAGGTCTTGCAAAAAATAATTTATCTATTTCCAAGATATTCATGGTTTTTCAAATGCTATGGAATGATCTTACCGGTATTCAACTTTAGAATTCTTTTGCTGAGGATCTGACTGATTTATTTGAGTGTGAACATATATATAGGATGATTTAGAGCTTGATATATTGTGTGCACACCAGTCCTGTCTATGGTTAATGATTGTATGATGCAGTCTAGATATCTTTTGGTTATTTTTATAGTTTGGTTGCTGTCTCATTGATGTATACCACACACCTCCTTTTATTCATATGCTCTCTTATTTCTTGCAGTCAATGACCATTCTAAATACAGCTATGGTTATCTATTCCTGGGGTAGAAAATCCTTAATATTTTGAAAAATTTTAAGTTTTTTAAATAGTTAATTCATAATCATGACCATATTAATGATTGTAGGAACTGAAAACATGTCACACATAACCAGACGAAACTTGGTACCATTTGTGAAGAAGCTATGACCAGACTAGCTGCTGAGAAAAATGTGACAGAAATGTGTCACTGACAGACATATGCATGAAAACAGATTATAACCAGTATATCCCTTCCTTTGGAGTCAGTTGGTAGATTTAAACACAAAGACAAACTTGTATACCCCTCTTCTTTCATATCAGGAATATAATAATTATATAATTCAGACAACTCACAGGATGGACAGGTTCTGAACATTCCAAACAGAATGTAAACTGACAAGTTACACAATGAGCCATATTTAAAGAATTTTCTTCTGTGATTAGAGCAATCTCACATCGTGGACAGTATGAGATGTCTCCCATTGCATCAAGGCCTTTCTGAAACAAAAAATATTTACAGTCAAAATATCAAATAATCTAAAATTTGTTTGCTTGCATACCATAAATTTTTGCTAGATTATATATCAACCAAAATAAATTTTACAGAAATAATTCCAGAAAAAAACATATGAAAGTAGACCACCAAAAATTGTCTTTAAAATGAATTGAACAAATTACTATCTCTGTAAAATAAATAGAACAAGTTATTATGTCTTCTCTGTATAATAAATTGAACACATTATTATGTCTTCTCTGTTTAAAGTTCCCAAAATGAGTACATATATCATTCTACAAAAGTTAAAAAGTTTTGTTTTCCTGATTAAGTTGCTATATGAAATCTAATCTGAAATACAACAACTGATATTACAGTGAAAGAGTTTGATTTGATATCATAAGGTTAATAACTGAGCTTGCCTTCTGTAACTGTCACATTTCTTTAATTTTTTTCCTGTTTGTAATCCTGTTTTTGAAATCTTTTATTCAGGTATTTCTTCTAAACTGATTTTAATTGTACATTCTTTTTTGTACCGTTGGTTAATCCACTGATCTACATCGAGAGGAGATGATCCTCAAAAATTAGTTTAACCCCATATCTTTATTGTGCCTGTCCTAGGACAGGAATCATGCCAGTGGTAGTCGTTAATTATTTCTTCACGTTTTTGTCAAAATTTGGTGTTGATTGGGGACTTTTGATAGTCTCTGTCAAATCCTTTCACTACATTTCTAGACTTTGGTAAATTTGGAGCTTGATAAAAAGTACTGACACTACGAAGTCTAATATATTGTTGAATACAGTATGTTGACTCTAGATGAAGGATAGAGATTCTTAATTTATCCTTGTGATTCACCTTTTCTGTATTTATTTAGGTCCATTTTTAGAATCTGTGATCTCAACAAGTTTACCTCTAAATGTAAATCATCATAGATTTTTTGCAAATTAGATATGCAACAATATACCATCCAAGTTTGACATCAATCCCAACATAGGCTCTCCAGTATTCACATGGAAACCAAAATTACTCATGGACTAACTGGTTGGAGCGTAAACTAGAGGCTCTAAAGAGCCTGTGTCGCTCACCTTGGTCTATGTGCATATCAAACAAAGGACACAGATGGATTCATGACAAGATTGTGTTTCGGTGATGGTGATGTGTTTGTAGATCTTACTTTACTGAACATTCTTGCTCCTTACTATTATCTCTATCTATAATGAACTTGGCCAAGTAGTTACAGTGGAAAATATTTTGTAAAAATTTACAAAAATTTACAAAATTTATGAAAATTGTAAAAAATTGACTATAAAGGGCAATAACTCCTTAAGGGGACAATTGACAATTTTGATCATGTTGACTTATTTGTAGATCTTACTTTGCTGTACATTATTGCTGTTTTTCTTAAAATTACCAATTCAGGGGCAGCAACCCAACAACGTGTTGCCTGATTGGTCTGAAAATTTCAGGGCAGATAGATGTTGACCTAATGAACAATTTTATCCCGTCAGATTTGCTCTAAATGCTTTGGTTTCAGAGATATGAGCCAAAAACTGCATTTTACCCTATGTACTATTTTTTAGCCATGTCGGCCATCTTGGTTAGCAGGCCGGGTCACCGGACACATTTTTTAAACTAGTTACCCCAATGATGATTGTGGCCAAGTCTGGTTAAATTTGGCCAAGTAGTTTCAGAGGAGAAGATTTTTGTAAAAGATTACAAAAATTTACGAAAAATGGTTAAAAATTGACTATAAAGGGCAATAACTCCTTAAGGGGTCAACTGACCATTTTGGTCAAGTTGACTTATTTGTAGATCTTACTTTGCTGAACATTATTGCTGTTTACAGTTTATCTCTATCTATAATAATATTCAAGATAATAACCAAAAACTGAAAAATTTTCTTAAAATTACCAAATCAGGGGCAGCAAGCCAACAACGGCTTGTCCGATTCATCTGAAAATTTCAGGGCAGATAGATCTTGACCTGATAAACAATTTTATCCCGTCAGATTTGCTCTAAATGCTTTGGTTTCAGATATATAAGCCAAAATCTACATTTTACCCCTATGTTCTATTTTTAGCCATGGCGGCCATCTTGGTTTGTTGGCCGGGTCACTGGACATATTTTTTAAACTAGATACCCCAATGATGATTGTGGCCAAGTTTGGTTAAATTTGGCCAAGTAGTTTCAGAGGAGAAGATTTTTGTAAAAGATTACAAAAATTTACGAAAAATGGTTAAAAATTGATAATAAAGGGCAATAACTCCTTAACGGGTCAACTGAACATTTTGGTCAAGTTGACTTATTTGTAGATCTTACTTTGCTGAACATTATTGGTGTTTACAGTTTATCTCTATCTATAATAATATTCAAGATAATAACCAAAAACTGCAAAATTTTATTAAAAATTACCAAATCAGGGGCAGCAACCCAACAACTGCTCGTCCAATTCATCTGAAAATTTCAGGGCAGATAGATCTTGACCTGATAAACAATTTTACCCCATGTCAGATTTGCTCTAAATGCTTTGGTTTCAGATATATAAGCCAAAATCTAAATTTTACCCCTATGTTCTATTTTTAGCCATGGCGGCCATCTTGGTTGGTTGGCCGGGTCACTGGACACATTTTTTAAACTAGATACCCCAATGATGTTTGTGGCCAAGTCTGGTTAAATTTGGCCAAGTAGTTTCAGAGGAGAAGATTTTTTTAAAAGATTAAAATTTTTTACGAAAAATGGTTAAAAATTGACTATAAAGGGCAATAACTCCTTAAGGGGTCAAATAACCATTTTGGTCATGACAACTTATTTGTAGATCTTACTTTGCTGAACATTATTGCTGTTTACAGTTTATCTCTATCTATAATAATATTCAAGATAATAACCAAAAATTGCAAAATTTCCTTAAAATTACCAATTCAGGGGCAGCAACCCAACAACGGGTTGTCCGATTCATCTGAAAATTTCAGGGCAGATAGATCTTGACCTGATAAACAATTTTACCCCATGTCAGATTTGCTCTAAATGCTTTGGTTTCAGATATATAAGCCAAAATCTACATCTTACCCCTATGTTCTATTTTTAGCCATGGCGGCCATCTTGGTTGGTTGGCCGGGTCACTGGACACATTTTTTAAACTAGATACCCCAATGATGATTGTGGCCAAGTTTGGTTAAATTTGGCCAAGTAGTTTCAGAGGAGAAGATTTTTGTAAAAGTTAACGACGACGGACGCCAAGTGATGAGAAAAGCTCACTTTGCCCTTTGGGCCAGGTGAGCTTAAAAGTATTAAATACCCCTGCTTCTACATACTTAATTGTATAAAAAAAGACAGAGAGAAACAGTGCCTGTTTAGAGAAAGCAAGAGATTTTCTGATAATTTACCTGAAAGGTAAGTTGTTCCCATCTCTTGTATTCCTCCTCATCTAACACTTCCTTCATGATGTAAGGTTTTATTTCTGTTTTACAATTTGATTCTAAACATCTGGAATAGATTGATCCATGCAGTTATAGCAGAAATTTTCAACTCTGATTTTTAAACACGGCCATTCAATGTATTAACCGTGACATTTATTAACTTTATGAGATATTTCTTTTCTAAAACAACTTATTAATGGTAATAACATCAGAAATATTTTGAAGAATAAATTTCATGTAAAAATCTCAAATTACAAGTTTTTAAAAGCTAAAAATACTGGAACATTATATTTAAAGATTAATACAAAGAAAACACCTGCAAAGGAGCTAACAATTTATGAATTCACTTTCTGGTTTTCATTAATAGCTGCAGATCTGGTCCACAATTTAAAAAACAAATCCAAAGGACTATCAGAGCTACAGTTCTACAGCTAGGTCTTTCTATGCACAAATAAATGTGATACATCTCTTTATGACAAGCAACTCAGTGTGATTTTGAATGGAAAAATAGAAAGAAAAAAAAAATATCAGTGTGAAATATTATTGTGTTAGAAACTTCTCATTTTCTCATTTTAAAATAATTAATCTTTGGAAGTGTCAAAATATAATTTTCATTCACTAAAGTGCTTTAAAAATAAATGTTTATAAACATTTATAAAAATCTGTGCACATTATGGCTTAGTTGAATAGCATATTATATAGTTTTAAAAAAATATATGTGTTTGCATTATCATGAAATTTTAAATTCCATGTATTAAAACGAGAATTAAATAAAAAAAATATTTGTAAACATAAAATGTTGACATACTATTATCTCAAAATATTATCACAAAAACTGCTAATTGAAATATAAACTAATTATGGTTACGTCTTCCACGTTTACATCTAGATGCAAAGTTTGAGGATTTTTTATGAACAACAAAAACTTATGCCAAGATATTTATACTTCCTTACAATCTCAATTCTATTTGAAACTTAAAGGATGAGGTTTTTCATTTATGGAGAATAGAGTGAGAGGTGTACTGAATTTTGGAGTTCTCTAAACTATTGATTCCAATGGGTTTTAGTGCTCTGAGTTGGAAGATCCAAAAATCCTCTCTTTTGCTTTTAAGGACGTCCGACTTCGGGTCATTTGGGTCGTTCCACAGAACTTTGATGATTTCAAATGACATATGGTGAATGTTGTGTCCAATCTGGTTGAAATGTTTACCAGTTGGTTCTGATGTCTTGTTTTTTACAAGCCGGATAATGCATCCGCCGGATAACCTATCCACCCGATAATCCATCCACTGGATAACACAACAGTTAATTAAGGATAAAATATCCGGTAACAGATAACCTGATTCATCAGATTCGCCAGATATTATCCGTCGATCCACAGTCACAATGGATCACAGTCAGACACTATAAAAGGAGATCAAAAACATAATAACACTATTCAGCCTCTGAAGAAGGTCCATTAAGGACCGAAACCGATCAGGTTATAATTATCATCAGGCGCTGTTAGTAAGGTGCAACAGCATATATTTTCCTATATATCTTATATATGAGGTTTTTCTTTTACCTTTGGTGAATACTATTGCTTTAGTGTTGGCTACATCTATACATTTTAAAATGTGGATGAAATGGGAGGTTGTTACCATATATCCACATACAGAACTTAACTATGTTGTTCATTGTGTTTTTGTAAGTAAATTGTTATTCGATATATCAATATTATTATATTTGTCTATTTTTAATGTACACAAATAAACTGCAACATTAAACACATACAGCAATTGTTGGACGGTACCATCTTTAACATGAATAGAGCAGAAAGCAGCAACACATTCTTTACAGTAATAATGTTTACATGGCAAGAAACTGTAGAAATCATGACCTGATTTCTCTGCAAAACAAATGGAACATTCCTGATCATGATAAAGAAAATCTACTGCTTCCTCTTGTTGGTTGTATCTGTAAGAACAGAAACAAAGGCATGTGCAACAAAAAAAGGAAAAGCTAAATGTAATAAAATGTTGACACAGAGATATGTCTCGCCTGTTGGCATAAAATTAAGAAAAAGACAACCTGATGGACAGAACCATTGCTTATTAATTCAGTTGCTGAACCATGATCTAGTGGGCAGGGCCTGAAAATGGTCAACAAACTGAGATGTAAAGACAGTAATGTAACTTTATAGAAAATATCATTGTCTATTGTAAGTAGTTCCTATCAATCTAACTTAAAGGGGCACTAGCTGTCAAATTCATGTTCACCGATTTGACTCAAATTCTCATATTTGATTTATAACATACTAAAACACATATCCAAATTAAAATAAATCTTAAATAAACAGTTAACAATGCATATACTAGATAATATGTATCAGGATTTCGTGTGTATTTTAGTCTAGACGCCATTAAATTAACTATCGAGATGACCTCCGAAAACTACCAATGGTCACATAACACGATATAAACATAAACATAAATATAAATAGATAACGACCTCGTGCAATTGGATTTTTCTATGTCTGTTTGATTTCATGTTATAGGTTAAAAAAATAAGTTAATTTTCTATTTTACCTGTAAAAGTTTTGTGGATCGAATCAGTCAATCAAATGATTTACCTTTGTTTCACTTTCAATGTGGACATTCTTTTCTTTTAATAACTGAACACGCATAAATTATGTGTAATCCATCTCTAGCTAAGGGGTTAAATTGCAAGTGAATAATTCATCATCTATGTTTCTTAGCTTATTTTGACAAAATTGAACCATACTGGCTGCTAAAATTGAATTTTTATTTCACTATTTCACTTTCATTAATGATTGAACAAAAAAAATCATAATCTAAATTTTTTATATATCTCGTAGCTAGTGCCCCTTTAAGCAGAAAACTTTACATTGAAAATTGCTAATTAATTCACAGTCACTGGACCATGTCCTAGGGGGCAGGTCCTCAAAATTGTGGTCAAACTGATATGAACTGATAGTAATGTGACTTCATACAAAATAATCATTGATCTATCACAAGTAGATCCTATCAAACTAACTTAAGCAGAAAACTTAACATTGAAAATTGCTAATTAATTCAAAGTCACTAGACCAAGACCTAGGGGGCAGGGCCTCAAAATAGTCATCCAACTGATAGTAATGCAACTTTATATTAAATATCAATAATTTATCACAAGTAGTTGCTATCAAACTAACTTAAGCAGAAAACTTAACAATTGTTGGCGTCGTTGTGTCGTCACTGTCGATGGAAAAGCAATCCTTATGTCTCGCTTTCCGTGACTTTCATCTCAGACGAGACAAAAATTGGCATTTTTAAAATTTGAAACAATATCAATATCTAATGGCTAGTCTGCATTGTAATATCTCTCATAGTTATATGTAACAAGAGGCTCTCAAGAGCCTGAATCGCTCACCTGTATTTCAGCGGAGAAGATTTTTAAATGTTAGCAAACTTGATGAACAAATTGTGTAAAATTGTCTTTAAAGGGCAATAACTCCTTAAGGGGTCAATTGACAATTATGGTCATATTAACTTTTTTGTAGATCTTACTTTGCTGAACATTATTGCTGCCTACAGTTTATATATATCTATAATAATATTCAAAATAATAACAAAAAACTGCAAAATGTTGTTAAAACTACCAATTCGGTGGCAGCAACCCAACAATGGGTTGTTCGATTCGTCTGAAAATTTCAGAGCAGATAGATCTTGACCAATTAAACAATTTTACCCCATGTCACATTAGCTCTAAAAGTTTAGTTTTTGAGATATAAGCCAAAAACTGCATTTGACCCTTATGTTCTATTTTTAGCCATGGCGGCCATGTTTGTCGATGGATACAAACTTCGGATACAATTTATAAACAAGATACCCTAAGGAACATTTATTTAAAGTTTGAAGGTAATTGGCCCAGTAGTTTCAGAGGAGAAGATTTTTAAATGTTAGCAAACTCTATGAACAAATTGTGTAAAATTGTCTTTAAAGGGCAATAACTCCTGAAGGGGTCAATTGACAATTATGATCATATTAACTTTTTTGTAGATCTTACTTTGCTGAACATTATTGCTGCTTACAGTTTATATATATCTATAATAATATTCAAAATAATAACAAAAAACTGCAAAATTTTGTTAAAACTACCAATTTGGTGGCAGCAACCCAACAATGGGTTGTTCGATTCATCTGAAAATTTCAGAGCTGATAGATCTTGACCAATTGAACAATTTCACCCCATGTCAAATTTGCTCTAAAAGCTTTAGTTTTTGAGATACAAGCCAAAAACTGCATTTGACCCCTATGTTCTATTTTTAGCCATGGCGGCAATGTTTGTCAATGGATCAAAACTTCGGATACAATTTATAAACTAGATACCCTAAGGAACATTTAGTTAAAGTTTGAAGGTATTTGGCCCAGTAGTTTCAGAGGAGAAGATTTTTGAAATAGTTTACGACGACAGACGACGACAGACGACAACAGACGATGACGACGACGACAACGACAGATGACGGACGCCAAGTGATGGCATAAGCTCACATGGGGCCCTTCGGGCCCCGGTGAGCTAAAAATACAATACTGTTAGAAGTCAACATTGAATATTAACTTTTGGTACCGTAATAAATTTCTATATAACCTGTGCTCTTTATGTACAGTTGTAACAATTATCTCCAGTGATTGATCACAGTGTAATAATTCCCCAAAACATGTCATCCTAATGGGACACATTATTTTTATTCTGAGTCAACCAGACTTTTTCTCTACATCATAAATGCATGCTTAGTGAAGAAGCAGAAAATACCACTTTTGAAGGTTTTGTTATGACTCAATTTGGTATCCAAACCACACCACCCTTGTTTGAAACCAGAAAGTTACCATGAGACAACTGAGGCAGTTTTAAAACCATATGAACAACAGCATTAATACCTGAATAAATCATTAAGAGTCTCTTCAATATTGTTAAATTCAAATCCAACTCTTTCATCACATTCACCACTGCAACCCCTAGATATCTGTAAATTTACTCCATCTTCTACACCTAAATAACTGGAAACAAATATGCTATTACTTGTTGCTATACATCATATTTGTTTTTTGTTCATTATTTTTATTTACAACAAGCATTCTGAGAGTATTGCATGGCAATACATAGTCCCCTACCAGTTAAAAATTCATTATACTGGAACAAAATGCTAACTTGTTCTATAACTTGTCATGGTGTAAACAAAAAGAAAATATCAAGTCAATATCTTCAAGCATGACTAAAAACAGTGTGGAAAACTGATTAAATGAGTGAATTTTCAAGTCCAAGGACCATAACTCTGCACAAAATTATCAGACCGAAACAAAATTTCAAACTTGATCTGTATAACTTGTCACGATAAAACTATATACCAATTATCAATCAATATCTTCAAGCATGATGAAAAAAAGTGGAAAACACTTTAACATTAGATATGATTAATAGTTCTCGAAAATTAGATATGATGTAATACAGTGTATATCTATTTTCAAATTATAATCAAATATAATTAATAGTTCCAAATATTTTTTCTTTTATTTGTCACAAACTAATATAGATTTGTAACTTATCTATAAAATGTCAACAATTTTTATCTACACAATGTAATGTAATATATACATTAATAAAAATAGATTATTATCTAATTAAAGGATTTCACACCATAATTTTTTTTATATTTATATATAGCATTCAGAAAATTAGTTTATACAAAATAACAAACAAACCTGCCAAAAAATTCTTCAAATAATTTACAAAAGAATGTCTTTTAAAAAATGAGTTATCTCCCTTTGTACAGAAATATGGTTTAACATAGTACTCTAACATTAGATATGGTCCATAACTCTGGACTAAATCATCAGACCAGAACAAAATTCGATCTGTAACTTGTCATGGCAAAACTATATACCAAATATCAAATCAATATCTTCAAGAATGAAGAAAAAAAGTGTGGAATACTGATTTAATGGACTGACGGAAGGACAGACGGATGGACAGACGGACAGAGTGAAAACCTAAAGTCCCCTTCGACTTTGTCGGTAGGGGACTAAAAATCAGGCCATTAGTTTTCTTGTTTGAATTGTTTTACATTTGTCATTTTGGGATCTTTTACAGCTCACTATGCGGTATGGGTTTTGCTCATTGTTGAAGACCGTACTGTGACCTATAGCTGTTAACTTCTATGTCATTTGGTCTCTGGTGGAGAGTTGTCTCATTGGCAATTAAACCACTTCTTCTTATTTTTATATTAGCTATATTTGACAAGTACTCAATCAATTTAAATATAATTTATTCCATATTGCCTTACCAGATTAAAAAAACCACAAAATATCTGTCTTTTGGCAGTATTTTGTACCCAAACTCTATTTTAATATTTCCATTACAAAAAAGCAACATAGAGATGCCTGTATCACTTATCTAGAAGCAAAAATTTACTTTCATAAAAATGTAATCTCACTTTTTATAAAAGATATCATTTTAATAAATATTCGCATCAATACTACAGTGTTACCCATGATCTCTTGAAATTGATCTTTTAAGAAAATTTATAATCTATCAACAATCAATAATAACAAGAGTTTGCACTCTGATATGTATTCCTTTATTTTTCTGCAAATTATGGTTGGATTTAATGCTGAAAGAGTTTGAGATCAAAACAAACAAGAATGCACATATTGTTGTGTTCAGCATATACCCCCACTCATAATTCAAAGTAATGGAAAACAAAAGGTGTCTGTCAGATCCACGTCTACATCATTTGGTTTCTGGTGGAGAGTTGTCTCTTTAGCAATCATATCACATCTTCTTATTTCTATATATCATAGACCACCATTTATAGTTATTCTCCATCTGACACTTTTTCAAAACATCTGGGCCCTCAGTCATAAAACTTTACTCAGTACTCAGAGTACAAAATTTGTGCTCGAAAAACCAAGTCCAGTATTTTGATAGGTTGAATTTTGAATCGGAGTACAATAATCCTGCTCAAAAGTTGTATGACCGCAAGGCCAGATGTCTTCCTTTTCTCACCTGAGAGTATTATGTTCTAACCAATCAATCCATGTATTTAGTATAGGCATTCCTTGATAATCATCCCATAAAATGTCTAGTTGTGAACACAAACTGGTCAGCTGAGTACCATTCAACCATGACGATGATAATGTTATTTTGGGTGAGGCACTTGAGGGATACTCTAGTGGTAGGGTAACTGTCAACTTTAATGGTGTCAAATATTTCACTCAGTGACTTTCGATAATGTCTGAAATAAAAAATCAATAACATAAAACAATTTGTATCAATTATATGTTATAAAAGGTACACTTTATTTAAAGGTTATCATCATGTATAAAACAATAATATTTACGTATCAAAACTGAGGCTAAAACTCTTTCTGAAAAAATAATATCTTAACTATTTCAGTATTTGTTACTCTCTTCTGACTCTATAAAAACTTTCAAAGGTTTTTTTTCCCGGAATCTTTGACCCTCTTAGGGTTTTTTTAATTTAGAGCTGGTCAATTGACTCCAACATCTGAAGTCTTTAACTCAAAATTGTAATATTCAATTTTTCTTTAAAAACCTTTTAAATCTTGGTATGTTAACTGATGAATTCATGTCATGTCAGCATACATCTATGTTCTTCCAATGTTTAAAAAAATCAAAAAGCATGCACATAAGTCCTCACTGTAGACTATAAGTAGTGGATCTTTTTTAAAGATGTCCTCCAACCATAGGAACAACGACACTATTCTGGTAGATCCTGTAACCCTTTTCAATGCCTATTTATCTCATATTCTTTGGTAGAATTAAATTAAAGCCATTAAAGTTCTTTACCTGTACTATGACAATCACTAATATCATGATATGGTTAACAGATATTAACATTAAATCAGTGATGGTAAACAGATATTAACATTAGTTTACCTGTACTATGATAATCACTAATATCCTGTGATGGTAAACAAATATTAACATTAATATACCTGTACTATGACAATAACTAATATCTTTTGACGGTAAACAGATATTAACATTAATTTACCTGTACTATGACAATTACTACTACCCTGTGATGGTAAACAGATATTAACATTTATCTACCTGTACTATGACAATCACTAATATCTTGTGATGGTAAACAGATATTAACATTAATTTACCTGTACTATGGCAATCATTAATATCCTGTGATGGTAAACAGATATTAACAATAAAATACCTGTACTATGACAATTACTTCTACCCTGTGATGGTAAACAGATATTAACATTAATTTACCTGTACTATGACAATCACTAATATCCTGTGATGGTAAACAGATATTTACATGAATTTCATTCTTTGGCAAACTCACTGGGACCATAAACTGGAAAATAAAACTTAAAACTATTTTTTTTTAAAGCCTTATTGTCATGGAGAAAAAATATACTAGAACTGTAAAACTAACAAAAGGATACCCCAAACCCCACGATACTATTAGCATAAATATTATTTTATCTTTAACATATAGGACAGGGATAATATTCCTTTATGTACTTCCTCAAGTAGTGTTCAACTGCTGTGTAATGTTTTATCAATATCAATCTAGCTATTCAGGAGTAGTTGCATATACAAGAGACTACTATTACTTGATTTATTTCAAGTTACTGAGCGGGGTTTAATCGGTTCACCAAAAGCTCGCTCAAAATAAAACTTGATTTTGAATTATAGATCAGTCCAACTATAAATAGGGTTGCATTCAATATCATAGCAGCTAGCATAGCCGCTATACCCTAGATACCTATCTATGTTCAACAACATGCTACATAGATGTACGGAGCTAGCTAATTTTCAAAAATGTGTCAAAACCTTTCTGCTGAATTGAAGTACTCTTTTTTCTGCTAAAACATTGTGCCAGCAATAACAAATATCTTTATTATATATTTTTTATTTATTCAGATATATATGACGTCACTTTGGATTCTATGACATCATAATGGATTTTCTAAATTTATATAGCGCTAGGCTAGTTAAAACTTTTAGTAGTGAAAAGCTACGTAGCAGCTACAATATTGAATGCACCCTGGATGTGTTTGGATAAAGCCATCAACGAAGTGTCCAGTCATGGTCATTGATCCAGTTAAAATATGTAAACACTATATGTGCATTTGCAAAGTAAATTGTGTGACACAGTTGTTTTCTTGTAAAACAGAGTTTAAAAACATGTCAAAAACTATGTTTTAATAAATGTTTTTATCTTTTTGTCTTTTTGACTATTTTATTCGTCCAATATCATTTGCTAAGTTCTTTTGTAGTGCTGTTTGTATCAATGATAGCTAATTAGAAATCAGTAATAATGATTATAACCGCAATCAATTTTATCACACACTTATTTTAATAGACTGTCCTTATGCAAGTTATTAGGTAAGCTCAGCCCATCAGTTGCAAAAAATCTGATACCATATATTGTAATATTGAAGTAAATTTGATTATCTCCCCTTCAACATGTAGTACTTTGTTTATCTCCCTGTGCACATACTAATGTAGTGTTTTATAACTGTGTAAAGTTCATACATATCTATCTAGATGTTTGGGAGATGTAGTGACAGATGGACAGGGTGATCCCCCACACCCCATAAAAAATAATTATTGTGTGGGTTTTAAAAATCCATTACATGTACATTGCACTGACAAGTTATATAATATAATATATGTGCATTGAAATTTCTTGAGATAGGCAATATATACCAGCACAGAAAATAATTGTGAACTTCCACAAGTTGCTTCACTTGGACCTTTGGATAACAATTTAAATCTTCTCTCTTCTTCTCCAATAAAGAATGACTGACATGCATAGATCTATAAAATAAGAGAACAATTAATTATGTATATATATTTGTAAAAAATGACATAAATTTACTTACATTGGTTTCTTTTCTTCAGTATCATTCAATGCAGTAACACAAAAAGATAAATAAGAGATGAAACCCAATGAACACAGTTGTGTGAACAGACATGATAAAAGCCTTATCACAACTGTCAATATGTGCATATCTAATCACCTGAGAAATGAACACTGCATATAAAGGAGCAAAGGGGACATCAAGAAAATGAAAGTCAACAATGTATGAAAGATATAAGGTTTAGTCAAAACAAGAGGCTACCAAGAGCCTGAATTGCTCACCAGGTAAAAAATATGCCATTTCAATATTTATTTTTTTTCCTTTATTACTGTCAGTTATGTTTGCTTATTTGTAGATATTTATTTAGTGGCATTTCTGTAGGTCTTGCATTAAAGTTTTTGAGATAAAAAACATTATCTAATGGCAATAAATACTATAACTAGTGTGACGATTTGGCCATGTTGACCTACTTGGAGATCATATTTTGCTACTCTTTTTAGCTTTCTAAAGTTTCTCTGTACTCTCTAACTCCTATAGTTTTAGACAAAATGCAAAAATAATGCATAAAAATTATCATTCAGGGGAAATTACTTGGATATCCATAGGTTTTGGTCTGTTGTGTTTTTTTTTGGAAGGTATATGTGGATTTGCACTGCTTCCCTTGCCTTCTTTGAACATATTCCAGAGTGCATGTATGTGTGTCTTTTTTGTTAGGCTATTATGTTTAGTTTTGTTGAACAACTAATTAATGTCTTCTTTTATGTTGTCCCATTTTGTACTTCTATACAGGTACATCTATCCCATAGAACTTGAGATAAAGGATACAACAGATACAGTTAAGTCTGCCTCATATCTTGACTTACTTCTAGACATAGATAATGAGGGTTGGTTGAAAACAAAACTTTATGACAAAAGAGACCCAATTGTAAACTTTCCATTTCTATGTAGCAACATTCCAGTACATTTGTAGCTCCTACATACGGAGTATATATCTCCCAGTTGATATGATATTCCAGGGCTTGTATTTCCTATCATGATTTCCTTGATAGAGGGTTGCTGCTCACAAGGAAGCTAGAGTTCCAAGTGGTGAAGTTGAAATCATCCCTTTGTAAATTTTACGAACGCCATCTGGAGTTGGTTGACCGTTATGTTTCACAGATGACGAGGGATAAGTTCCAATTGTCATAACTACAATCCCGTCCCCTTTTCCCTGAATGTGACCTACAGAATTAGACTTGCCACATGTGGAGCAGGATCTGCTTACCCTTCTTGAGCACCTGAGATCTCCCCCAGTTTTTGATCTGGTTCTTGTTGCTCAGTCTTTAGTTTTCTATGTTGTGTTTTGTGTACTGTTGTTCTCCTGTTGGTCTTTTTCTATTTAAGCCACAGCTTTTTTAGTTTATTTTCGACTTATGAGTTTGAATGTCCCTTTGGTATTTTCGCCTCTCTGTTTTTACAGTGATTCTTTTTTTTACTCAGTGTGCTCTGTTGTAAGCTGTTTTAAATTCAGAGAGAAACTCTTTAAAAGATGTTTACAGATGAGCATAAGTACAGATTTTTTCTTTTCCTTTTTGTTGGATTCATGTTTGTATCATTTCACAAAAAAGGGTGTTATTTATATGTGGACGAATTCCTCAATAACAGAAGAAAAATCAATAAAACATAAAATCAATATACTAATGCACTCAAAATAGTTAACTTTTTTTCTAACAATTGCACTTGCACATTACCCTGTTCCTGTTCTGTTGACAGACGCTGCCATCATGGCCATGTTGTAAGTCATGTGATTTCCCAAAAATATGTCTATCCAGTGGCGGATCCAGAACTTTTTGTAATGGGGGGCCCGCTGACTGACCTAAGGGGGGCCCACTCCAGTCATGCTTCAGTGATTCCCTATATAATCAACCAAATTTTTCCCACGAAAGGGGGGCCAGGGCCACCCCTGGATCCGCCTATGCTATCTGATTACCAACAAGAATAATGACAATACAATAAAAATAAAATATGTAATACTTCATCCTCTTTCACAGGTAACAACTGCCTCATATGATATCTACTGAGGTCAAGGTTGACCTAAGCACTGCTACAACATACATATATTTTATTTCTTTATTATGCCTGTCAAGTTTTAGACTGCACTTAATCTGAAAATCATGATGCATTTGGAGGCTATGTTGATTTTTTTCTTTGACTTAAAAGGGGTTAATTTCAATCAAAATCCAAAAATTAAATACCCTCCAGAGACGGTTTAGAGGGTTTTTCAGGGGCCGAGCACCCCCCCGCCCCCTTTTGTGGGAAAAATTTGGTTGATGGAATCACTGAAGCATGACTGGAGCAGGCCCCCTCTTAGGCAGTCAGTGCCCCCCCCTTATGAAAATTTCTGGATCCGCCACTGCCCTCAGCAGATGTCATGATTATCTGGACTAGTCATCTAGTCAGTCATGTACTGAGTCCAGACTGGTTTTTTTTCTGATTAATTAAGCTACTCAATAATCCATTTCAGGATTTTGTGTGCGGAGCGAATCGAGTGGCCAAATCAGAAAATCGCTCCAGACAAAACAGAATCCCAAATGAGATTAGACGCCCAACTGTTCAACTTTGTCTTGATGACAAGAGTAATCTCTCTGTTAGTTTTGTCGCTATTGTTAGTAACTACTCACTTATCTATCTGGACATATGTACTGTTGTAATGATATATCTATATAAATTACGTTTACAAATACACATAAAGTATAAATAGTGTGCCCTTAAATTATTCGGCTTAAAAAACAGAAAAACAAACCTCATCATTTTGCACATCCAAATTTTCACTAAAGCAGGGGGACCATTCTATAACTGTTTTACAATCAATACCTCCTACGGCCATGTATATGCAAGATGAACAATGCTGTCGCGACCTTTGACAAGACAATAAGTTAATGAAACAAAAAATTGCATCCCTTTTCGTCTGCTTTAATTAAAATCATGTCTTTATTGATTTTTCGTGAACATCTTGTATTCACACTTTTTTAAGCACTTTGAGGACTTCTCAAACAATAAAAATAAAAATCGAAATTATACGGATAAGGAAATGTAAGTTTTGCGGATTAAAATTTTGTACCCATGGACATAAAAATAAAGTGATAATTTGTGTATAGTGAATGATAAATTTCAACAAACATGGACAATTATAACCCCAAATGAAAATAACTTAAAATTATGTAAAATAGGATCATTAATTGGGTTAAATTATTCCAATGTCGATATTGTCGATATTGTACAGATTAAATGTTTATTTTTTAATACGTTTTTTTTCGATTTTGTACACAATTATATAAGAGAGGCGAGAGATACC